CTAAATGCAATACTGTATTACCACTTTTACTGTCCTGAAAACAAACAGACAAATTGTTAAGAAAATGGTTGTAGATGAAAACTTTTATAATTTAATATGTCTGTACCATAGCATTTGTATTTGCTCCAAGTTTAATAAGTTCTCTAACAATATTAATATGATTCTCTTTTACTGCAACACCAAGAGGAGTCAAACCTGAAAGAATTAATGAGAAATTTGTCAACTTTAAATAAATGATACTGTGTTACAAAACTATTTCAAAATCCTACCATCAAAATTTCGTGATTCCAGTAACTCTTGCAACTGCAGCTTGTGATCCAAATATTTTGGGCATGATTTAAAATAGCTTTCAGAAATTTTAAGTCTCCATGATAGCAAGCAAGATGTATACATGTCTGACCATTTCTATCTACAAGTTCAACACTAGCTCCGTGATTAATAAGTTTTGAAACAACCCCATGCTGTCTTGTTATCACTGCCAAATGAAGTGGCGTTTGTATTAAATTGTTGTAAAGATCAAAGTATTCCCTTTTTGGTAATACATCCACAATAGCATCAATGACTTCAGCATTGCAATTGATAATTGCCAAATGTAATGATCTATTATAAGAAAAATATTTTGTGGATTAATCACAATGGAATAAGGAAGTCTGAGGGAATTTTTAACAATAAGACTTCTTTGAAAATGTTTAACATCCTCCTCCTTCACTTGTAAAATTTAATTCACACCGAATGTTGTGGGCGGAAATCTTCAAAGACACTTAAAATAGAAAGAGTGACTCTAAAGTGAATGGTCATCATGATTTGCTTACAGTTCTTATTAAAATTTAAAATTAAGTAGAAAACATTCCAGAATAATAATCCTTATGACGTTTCACCCCCAGCAAAGTCAAGCAAGCAAAGTGAAAAACAATGAATGGTAATTCCCAAATTTTTCTACCGTCATAATCACACGTATTCACGCCCCAAAGTATATTTTACGTGAGCTGTATCACACCTTAACATACATAAATCGATTTCTTATAAAAGTTTGTCAAACACAAATACATACGTGTCTCCATCGCCATTTCGTACCAGGAAATATGGCCAACTAGCCGCCATCATAAAACGCAGGTTTTGCGTTTGAGCAAAACTCTGTACACAATGCACATTCATTTGAAAGTAATTTATTTTCGAAGTCATTGAATCATAACCTTCGTCTATCTTCAAATCCTCAGTTTTATTTATGACTTTTTTCATATCCATTGAATCGTTGGGGCTCGACACGCATTGTTGATTTCGCGTTTCGTCATAATAACTGTCTGTACAAGAACTGAGAGAATGTTGGCTTTCATTTTCCGACATGCTTCCCAAACCCGAATCCACTCTAGAATCGCTATCATTAGAGTACTGACGATAGTCTTCCTTCATTTTTTCAACAGCTCTGGGTTGTTTGGGTGAACCCATTACAACGCCGTTCTTGTTTTCTTGTGTTGTCATCATCTTGTATTGTTAATGGTGGTAATTTTCCTTTTAGCTGTCGCACCTAAATGCAGCTTTGGAATGAAATAGTTTGGTAAATTTACTGCACAAAATTAAAGCATATAAATGCTCTGGCAAAGACGAATTTCACGTTAGACGGTTGTCGTAATATAACCGGTCATACAAAATGTTTACTTTTTAGCTTTTATTTGCTGGGGAATTCCCTTTCACATATTTAGCCAATCACAAGCCTCTATTGGAGGGGAAGTCCATTTTTCTGCTAACATATTCCTACAACCATTGGCTACAACTGGCTACAACACCCCTAAACCACGAATATGACAAAGAGGCATTTACATCTTACATCAGGGAAAATAAAAATTATTAATTGTGCAGTGCGTAATCATTTAAACAGCTATGCAAAAATATTACCTCTACAAAAGCTGAAATCATCAGATTTTCTTCCACATCAACTTTAATATAAAAAGTTTTGGAAACGACTTCTAGAATTTAAATAATGTAAATGCACAGACCCTCAATACACAGTTTTATTATAATTCTATTGATTTGTGCATTAGACGCTTTGCATCTTCCAATCTTTTATTGCATGTTTGGCACGCCTCGGTATAATGACATGTTGATCAATTTGTTGCCTCTTTCCAGCCCAGCTTTTAAGATACCCTCGAAGGAACGAAGGAAAAAAGCTGTATCCTTCGTTATATATTAAAATATTGCTGTACTATGATCAGACACATGTTCATCAATTTGTTGCCAATTATACCACACCTACATCAAACAAGGTCAATGTAGCTTTAATATACTTTGTTATTCTAATGAAAATTCAGGCATGGAAGTTACAGTGCTTTGAATATATTTGATTTTTTTACATTCTCTACCACATAGTTTTTATTTTCAATAAATTTGTGCGATGGGCTTTAGGAAATAAAGCTCTTGTATACTTTTTTGTTTGTTACATATTGATACTTATAGGAGTGTCATGGTTTTCTTGCTGGGAATGCTGTTCGATCAATGAATCGCTACAGAGCTCTTGATGAAACAGCAATCTTTGGGCGAGGCTGTCGACATGAGTTTCCTAAAAAATTCTTAAATTTGAAACATGGAGAGAGGTCTGTTACACACATTTTCACCTATTTTACCTAAATGTTCTTTGTTTGAAAGAGGTGGTTAAGATGCTTGCATGTGATGGTGTAAATATATTTTTCAGTTGGTTTGCTACTTTCAATGCTTTGTGCAAGTGCTGAATCTTTTGCATACATGTGGTTACATTATTTAAAAATATTCTACATATTTTATAGATTGAGCTATGCAGTTTATGTTCTCCAAGAATTAGAGAAAGATAATGCTGATAAACCTGCACTCAAAATAAACATATTGTATGATGTTGCATGCATGTTGGTGAAACACTTACAGGTAATATTCAATTGACAATAGTTGCTTTGTTAACTGTTTCCTTAGTCAATAACTTTCCCTCAACACTTTTTTTCTTTGAAAATGTAGTCTTTCACATGTTTTCTTTATTTTGTTTTTACAAAAGAATTTGGAGGATCCAATTATTGACATTTTTCAATTTTCAATTCCAATTTTTCACAGCTATGGCCATGTTGGACGATGCCAAGTTAGTTGTTATTGTTTTATTTTTCATACCTATTAACAGATGGTGATACCTGAGTTTTATGCTGTCATAACTAATGGTATTGTAGATGATAAAATGATAAAAGTCAATAATTGTTTGCTAAATCTTTCTTGTAAAGGTTAAATTTAGTCCCCGTCGTAAAGAAGGATTTGGCCTAACTGACGGTGAGATGTTGGAGAGATTGTGGGCTTACATTCGCAAATTTAGCAGAATGACTAAAGAAATGCGTCCAAGTGACAGAGTTGATGTACTCAGTGATGCTCTTTTACATTATGGAAAGAAAACGAAGATTAATTTAGGTATAACTAGTTTTTGTTTCTTTGTTTGAACATATACATAGCTAACATGTCATCATATTATGTAATGGCAGGTATGAATTAAATTTTGTTTTTTGAGGCAATTTGCTGATGGCAAGGATGAAGCGAGCTGTTGACGTGGAAGAAACTGCAAAATCAGATATTGAAAAGTTATGCAGGTGCTTTCCGTGTGAGTATATGTTTGTATTTGCTGTGTGGTTATATTTGACTCCGATTTTGGATATGAACTATTTACGACTCACATGAAAGCAGTAAATTCTCTTTTTTTCATTATCTAAAGCTCACAGGATTTCAATAGATGATATTCGTGAGTGGATGAAGGACGAATCGACTTTTTTTTGTCGTGAAGTTGAGACTGGTTAGTAATAGACCACTTTGGCGGTTTTATTTGAATAAAAAGCACGTGCTCGCTAAGTGAAAAACTCGGACAAACATGGCGGAAGTCATAACAACGACTAATTTGCTATATGAAATAGAAATATTTTTCGCTCTCTTGCAAATGTAGCGACGAATCAAACTTAGTCATAGTTGTTGTGCGTCAACGGATATACGATGTGAGTAAGCACAACAACGCGCTACAAGCTAACCACACAAGCCCGACCACAAAGCATGAAAGCACTATAAAGCACTTTTACGATGGATATGTTGAGTCTTTGCTAACAGCCTACAGGCAAGATGCTGGGGTCCATGTTTATATAGGCAAGGTTAAGCCTACAATGAAAGAAATGACTAAAGATGGTAAAGATGTTTACGATTTATGGTTTATATTGGAAGGAAACGGGTCTAATCGCGGCAGTGTGCTTGATGCGTATTGCTGTTGTCTTGGTGGTAGAGATGGTGGATGTAAGCATGTATCATCTGCTTTGTATTCTCTTGATGATCTGCTTAATTCTAGAGGAGAGGATAGTGTTACAAGTAAAGTGTAAATGGATTCGAAGCATTCTTAAACAATTTTGGCTTACAAGGTTGTGCCACACATGTTCAAAAATTCTGCATTTTGAATAAGGTATCTTCTGAATGTACAAATGGTAAGCATTTAATTTGAGTGTTACCTTAGCAAATTTACTTGAAGCTAATTTGCAGTAATGTTGCTTATGATAGGCTCCACAAAGATAAAGTATTTTCATAAACAAAATCCGGTGAACAAAGATGAAAATGAGGCTGCTTTTTTATGCAAAACAGGTATCACATATCAAGTATCAAGTGGTTTATTAAGCGCCAGGATGTTTTGTTATGCTCCTCAATTTTTTTCTTAATTTCCTTAGATGATACGGTAAGCATCTTAGAGACAGAAAACAGTGATCCGCCGATGAAGTCTGTTGTCTTATTTGGCTTTGATGTGCAACAAGAAGACATAGACAGTCTACAACCAAAGGGACTTATCACAGACACAATCTTGTCTATATTAATGAGGTATATTCTTTCTATGCAATATTGATTGATTTTAAAATAGCAAATAGGTTGATTACACTACCAAAGTAAATTTACTAATGCTAGTGAACTGTATAATTTCATTTCTAGTGAGCACTGCTGTGAATACCCATAGTAGACACTTTATTCTATTCTGTTCTGTTGGAGATCAAGAACTGAAAGTGAGAACATCAAGCAGGTTTCAGTAACTGACAATGATATTGCACTTATCTTTCAAATATTCTACTTTTATACATTGTATTTAATGTTTGTAGACTAGAAGAATCCAAGCTGCAGAACAATTTTTCAGTGCAAAGTTACTTGAAAAAGATTATGTGTTTGTGCCAATCAACAGAAGGTAAAAATGCTTTAGACAACAAATGTAGCATCTTTGCAAAAAAAAGTTTTATTCCATTATTTTAGCCTACACTGGTTTTTGGCCATCATTTCACCATGGTAGGAAAAGCAACATTTGCTATATTGCATGTGTTCCTTTAAAGCATGTAATGTTACAATAGTAACCAATTTCATATTTAGGCATATCCTTGTTCTGGACTCTTTAACTTGGGATAAAGAAGACAAGAAATCTACATTTGAATATATTTCACAGTAATTGTTTTTCCATTGCACTATGCCTACTCTCATTGCTATGTTACTGTTGGATAAGAATTTTACTTTTCATTCTGAAGATATTTGACTACACCTTTCAAAAGCACAGCATCAAAAGAAAGCATCGTTCTCATCATGTTAAAAGTGAGTTCTTATCATACCACCAATAAAATATATTGTGCAAATAATTCTTGCTATATGCATTATTTGGTAGGTCCCACAGCAGGAAATCTCTTCAAATCTCTGTGCTGTTTTGTATAACTTTTATTAAATACTTTTGAAGGTAATTATGGAAACTACATGTTTCTTCAAGTTAGAGCCTAATAATAGGAAAGATGTACTCAATGCAATAACATAGGGAAGAGTGCTTACTTTTTCAATCTCACAAAATTTTTTAGGATATTGAAAAATATGAGAAATGTCCCAATGATTTCATTCTCATGGAACATAAATGGTTCAGTAGCAAGGATGCCACAATGGAAAGAAATAAATGGCACAAAACTTTGCACACATTGTTTACTCTGCATTGATCTAAGTTTATCTTTAACACAAAGGAATATTTTATTGTATATTTTTTAAAGCTTCTATATACAATGTTTTTAAGGTGATGCAATAATCTGTGGTTGCAAATTAACCAATGCTGCACAGATAGACACAACAGAATCAATATATGGTTTCATTGTTAATTTTCGTACACACAAATCTGTCACCTCGATGACACGCACGAATCCAGCGCTCTCGCTTGTCGCTATGGTTTATCCCCAGGAAAACGTAAAAAAAATACTTTGCTTCTACTTGCGTCTCGTTTTAAACTATCAGGATACCGCGAATCGCTTTTGCAGGTTCCCCAAGCGCACCTCTTCGTCGTAACCATTGTTATAAAATTACTCCGCCACGTATCGTTATTATTATTGCATTATATTTAATCATACGAGTTCACATTGAATTTTGCTATGCTCTATTCATCTCTTGTCCTATTCTATATTTTATCGTGCATTTATATAGTAACTAAAAGTGTTCTCAGTCATATCCTGCACGTAATAGTGGGATGACTTACTTCTTTCTAAGCGCGTTATAGTGCTTTCATGCTTTGTGGTCGGGCTTGTGTGGTTAGCTTGTAGCGTTGTTGTGCTTACTCACATCGTATATACGTTGACGCACATCAACTATGACTAAGTTTGATTCGTCGCTACATTTGCAAGAGAGCGAAAAATATTTCTATTTCATATAGCAAATTAGTCATTGTTATGACTTTCCGCCATGTTTGTCCGAGTTTTTCACTTAGCGAGCACGTGCTTTTTATTCAAATAAAACCGCCAAAGTGGTCTATTGAGAAACAATGGCTTGTAGCTATGGAACAGATTTGACACATAATTATTGATGCTCATTATGTGGAAATGCTCACATAATTATTGATGCTCATTTTTAACAAATATACGTAAATCTTCAACAACTTACAGAAGAAGAAGATTGGAAATGCAAGTACGTTATATACCTGGACTTGTACGCTGATCTTTACCATCGATGGAATGGTTGCACTGATCCAAGTGAACTGACTGTTCGATTTAATCAGATGAAAAAGTATGTTCGAAAAGTTGAACTTGTTTCTAGAGATATTAAAGTCTTAAACAGTGTGAATTTAGAAAAATGAACTGGGAAAATTTTGAAGCTATGAATGTACGTCGTAACATTGTGAATAATAAGTTGGAATATCGAATAAAAAATTATTTTTTGTTTTTATACGTACGTACAAGTAGAGATGTCCATAAATCATTTCAAAGGAGACATTCGACTAACTCACCCATTTCACAACAAAACGACAAATAGCCTTTCTTGACTATTACGCACAGTAATGGAGACGCCACGGATAAATTCCTTGAAGGAGCCAGTTGTTACACTACACTAATATTTCACACATCAGTGCAGTAAATCCAACGTCCATATTTTATAGAAGCAATCTCTTGCCACGTATAAAGGAAAGAGTTTTGAATGCACCATTATCAATATCAAACCAGTAAAATTTTATAAGTATAAAAAATAAACAAACGACTCATTTGCTGAAATTTCACTCAAAATAACTCATTTGCTGAAATTTCACCCACGTCAATTTTGAGACATGACCTGTGATCAGGAAGTTACACATACAGGACCTTCAGAACTAACATGTCTTTGTCTAAAATTTAGACAAAGACATACAAATTCTTTAAAGGAGCCAGTTGTTACACTACACTAAACTAATTAAACTAATATTAAACTAATTCCAAGATGAAATGGTAATCTGGTAAGAGAACACAGGAACTCAACCTAATAAATAAGTCAATTCAATACAAAGACTTTGGTAAAAATACAAGCTGCAAAGTAAGAATAACTTAATATAACTTTTAATTTGGTATTTATGATACTTTTGATCTATGGCTAGCTCGAGTGCCGAGAACGAATGTTACACGTGCAAGTGCGCGGGATATAAGTCGACTAATTAAATTGGGACGTGTGAGACAATTGAGGCCATTATACATAATGTGAGAAATTCTCGTCAAGTCATGACGCAGATTATAGTCTAGAAATCCGTATAGTTCACGCGACATCTAGTCACTGCATGGTTGTGGGGGACTTTTTTGATGGTTGAAAATTAGTTGAAAATAGTTGGTTATGTAAAATAGTTGGTATAACATATCGTTAGCAGAAGATTACATCTAGATTACACAAAGTGCATTGTGGCACACTAGCGTGTGTGTTTGTTATAGTTACTGCTACAATAACATGGTCTTGGGAGTCAAATAGATTTAACATCATCGTCGTGCATTTTATTATGTAAAAGTGCTTTTGTTATGTGTCAACAACCAATCTCAGAAGGAATTTTTTAGCCTATTATTTTACACCTTCGAAATTATATGTTTAAACTATTTGAAATATTGATATATGAAATGTTAATGTAGCTAATAAGACAGTGGTTCGATGGTGAGAAAATCAGCCAACAATGTGTAAGCTAACCTTAGAAACCATAAAAATTTACAGGCAAAATAACCTCAATAAGTAATTAGGATTGTGAATATACATGTTGATTGTACGACGATTTGGATTCCTAAAAGACCACCAGCCTATGACAGAAAACTTAATCACAAAAATAGGTCCAGATGTTATCCATCGTTTGTTTTAGGAAAATGACCAGAAGAGCAATTACTTTTGTAAGTTTTTATCAGCGCCAAAATTCGACAAAGATCAAGAGGTTACATCCTCCAGCGAATATTCAAACGATTTTTAAGAGTACGATTAAGAGGTTAATCAATTTAATAGCTGGACTTATACAAGTAAAGCAGAATCTTTCAATAGACAGAGCAAACGCATCGGGTGTCATAACTATTGCGGTATTTCATGGTATTTAAAGGTCACCTGAAATGCTTGATATAACTTTGCTTCATATGAAAGCTTAGCTAATGATTAGCCTATTCGCCAAATTTGAAAGTCCAATGTTTTATATTTTATGAGACATGGTCTTCTGAATTCATGACATTGACGATTTCCGAAAGCCGAATTCAAATAGCGCGAGCGAATTTGAATTACCCAAGCTGGGGCGAGTTGACGTAATAGTTGCCATTGCATGTTTTTGCTCAGTGCAGCCAGTAGCAGTAAAAATTAAATTTCGCCAATTTTCTTTTTGTTGTTGCTGCTACTATTAATGCGTGTTTATCTCGACGTCTTCAACGGAGGAAGAAGTCGAATTTGACATCGAATATATTGCTACGGAGGTCCAGCCTTACATGTTTGAACCGCTAGCTAGTAGCAAGAATGTTGAAACTGACGAAGATCTGTCTTCGTCGTCAACGGACAGCTCATCTGACGAATATACTCACAGGATTGGAAATACAAACTGGTGCGTTGCTTTTTTTCATGATTAACATTTCATATCGCGTCATAAAATTCTTTTCTTTTATTTTAATGGCAGGTGTGAATGTGGACACTGTGTGGCGATGACAACCGGCCGGGAAAGCATTTGTTGCCATGAGGAACCGAAGACTACTGTGAAGGTACCACAGGATTCATCCTGACATTCATCCTGACATTCATCCTTACATTCACCACAGGATTCACCACAACATTCAAAATTAGCATAAAGTGTGAAGTTGACACCACATTCATTTTAATGTTATTAAATAACATCAGTTTCAGAAACAAAATAGAAAACCGTATTTTTGCTACAAAAGCAAAACATGCACACGTGTTTGGTGCCGTTGTAAAGACCAAGTTATTTAGACAAGGATTATACTATTTTTATTTTGGTCGAAAGTCTTGGAGCAAATATACAGCATTTTAAAGACTACTTCCGCTTTTGTCTCTTTACGTTAAATAATTGCGCGATGTTTACAATGCATAAATGTTGACATCTAAAAAGGCCTAATTTTCAAGAAATAAACACGCTGGAAAATACTTGTGTTTGGTAACATCCGAAAGTACGTTTTCTGAGGATTACAAATATGGTTTTATTATCTTGGTCCAAATTCGTGGAGCGAATCTACAGCCGTGCAAAGTCGACTGTGAAGGTACCACAGGATTCAAGATAGTACGGTTTTTATACGGTAAACACGCTACAATTTACTTGTGTTTAGTATCGTCTTAAAGAGCGTGTTCTGAGGATTACAAATATGGTTTTATTATCTTGGTCCAAATTCGTGAAGCGGTTCTACAGCTTTGGAAAGGTAGAGCATTTTTGCGTTAATTAATAGGCAAGTTGTCATGTTGCATTATTTCACTAACGTCTAAATATGCCGGGTGTTGAACTAGTTAACACGCTGCAATATACTCGTATTTGGTATCAGATTAAAGATCTTGCTATGAGGATTACAAATATGGTTTTATTATTGTACGACATTCCAGGAGCGAATCTACAGCTTGAGAAATGTGGAGACGTTTTGCGTTAATTAATATTCGCGGTACTTAACTGACATGTTTATATATATCTAATTTTCATGAAGTTAACACGCTACAATTTACTTGTGTTTAGTATCGTCTTAAAGAGCGTGTTCTGAGGATTACAAATATGGTTTTATTATCTTGGTCCAAATTCGTGAAGCGGTTCTACAGCTTTGGAAAGGTAGAGCATTTTGCGTTAATTAATAGGCAAGTTGTCATGTTGCATTATTTCACTAACGTCTAAATATGCCGGGTGTTGGACTAGTTAACACGCTGCAATATACTCGTATTTGGTATCAGATTAAAGATCTTGCTATGAGGATTACAAATATGTCTTTATTATTGTGGCCGACATTCCAGGAGCGAATCTACAGCTTGAGAAATGTGGAGACGTTTTGCGTTAATTAATATTCGCGGTACTTAACTGACATGTTTATATATATCTAATTTTCATGAAGTTAACACGCTGCAATTTACTTGTGTTTAGTATCGTCTTAAAGAGCGTCTTCTGAGGATTACAAATATGGTTTTATTATCTTGGTCCAAATTCGTGAAGCGGTTCTACAGCTTTGGAAAGGTAGAGCATTTTTGCGTTAATTAATAGGCAAGTTGTCATGTTGCATTATTTCACTAACGTCTAAATATGCCGGGTGTTGAACTAGTTAACACGCTGCAATATACTCGTATTTGGTATCAGATTAAAGATCTTGCTATGAGGATTACAAATATGGTTTTATTATTGTGGCCGACATTCCAGGAGCGAATCTACAGCTTGAGAAATGTGGAGACGTTTTGCGTTACTTAATATTCGCGGTACTTAACTGACATGTTTATATATATCTAATTTTCATGAAGTTAACACGCTACAATTTACTTGTGTTTAGTATCGTCTTAAAGAGCGTGTTCTGAGGATTACAAATATGGTTTTATTATCTTGGTCCAAATTCGTGAAGCGGTTCTACAGCTTTGGAAAGGTAGAGCATTTTTGCGTTAATTAATAGGCAAGTTGTCATGTTGCATTATTTCACTAACGTCTAAATATGCCGGGTGTTGAACTAGTTAACACGCTGCAATATACTCGTATTTGGTATCAGATTAAAGATCTTGCTATGAGGATTACAAATATGTCTTTATTATTGTGGCCGACATTCCAGGAGCGAATCTACAGCTTGAGAAATGTGGAGACGTTTTGCGTTAATTAATATTCGCGGTACTTAACTGACTTGTTTATATATATCTAATTTTCATGAAGTTAACACGCTACAATTTACTTGTGTTTAGTATCGTCTTAAAGAGCGTGCTCTGAGGATTACAAATATGGTTTTATTATCTTGGTCCAAATTCGTGAAGCGGTTCTACAGCTTTGGAAAGGTAGAGCATTTTTGCGTTAATTAATAGGCAAGTTGTCATGTTGCATTATTTCACTAACGTCTAAATATGCCGGGTGTTGGACTAGTTAACACGCTGCAATATACTCGTATTTGGTATCAGATTAAAGATCTTGCTATGAGGATTACAAATATGGTTTTATTATTGTACGACATTCCAGGAGCGAATCTACAGCTTGAGAAATGTGGAGACGTTTTGCGTTACTTAATATTCGCGGTACTTAACTGACATGTTTATATATATCTAATTTTCATGAAGTTAACACGCTACAATTTACTTGTGTTTAGTATCGTCTTAAAGATCGTTCTGAGGAATTACAAATATGGTTTTATTATCTTGGTCCAAATTCGTGAAGCGGTTCTACAGCTTTGGAAAGGTAGAGCATTTTTGCGTTAATTAATAGGCAAGTTGTCATGTTGCATTATTTCACTAACGTCTAAATATGCCGGGTGTTGAACTAGTTAACACGCTGCAATATACTCGTATTTGGTATCAAATTAAAGATCTTGCTATGAGGATTACAAATATGTCTTTATTATTGTGGCCGACATTCCAGGAGCGAATCTACAGCTTGAGAAATGTGGAGACGTTTTGTGTTAATTAATATTCGCGGTACTTAACTGACATGTTTATATATATCTAATTTTCATGAAGTTAACACGCTGCAATTTACTTGTGTTTAGTATAGTTTTAAAGAGCGTGTTCTGAGGATTACAAATATGGTTTTATTATCTTGGTCCAAATTCGTGAAGCGGTTCTACAGCTTTGGAAAGGTGGAGCATTTTTGCGTTAATTAATAGGCAAGTTGTCATGTTGCATTATTTCACTAACGTCTAAATATGCCGGGTGTTGAACTAGTTAACACGCTGCAATATACTCGTATTTGGTATCAGATTAAAGATCTTGCTATGAGGATTACAAATATGTCTTTATTATTGTGGCCGACATTCCAGGAGCGAATCTACAGCTTGAGAAATGTGGAGACGTTTTGCGTTACTTAATATTCGCGGTACTTAACTGACATGTTTATATATATCTAATTTTCATGAAGTTAACACGCTACAATTTACTTGTGTTTAGTATCGTCTTAAAGGTCACCTGAAATGCAAAATTCATATTTCTGTTTATTTGACATATAAAATGTATATATTGCGTAGACTATTCAAAGAAAATTTGAAAACAATCCCATGATTATTTTAAGAGATATCAACGTGTGAATTTGTGTTTTTTTTGAATAGAAGTAAAAAATATTCCGTCGGTTTATCGTCGGAAAGTACTCGGCGTGACGTAATAGTTGCCATTGACATTTCGCGCGAGAAAGCGGCAAATATGAATTCATAAATAAAGTTTGATTTTGATCGGCTATTTTAAGATGGTTTACTATGTGGCATTTAACTGCAAAAACGGTTCTTCTGAGAACCAATCTAAGGAAAAGTTGGGTTTCAGTTTCCCGCTAAAATCCTTTACGCCAAGCATGGAGTCGATAAGGTGAAAAGGAAAGATTGGAATCCTTCGAAAAGGTCAAAGCTCTGTTCGGCACACTTTGAAGCCTGCTGTTTTGTCCAAAACCCCGGAGTCCTGAAATCTTTAGGATGGCGACCAACCAGGTTAAGGTTAAAGAAAGACGCAATACCAACAATCTTTGAATGTTTGGAAAAAGCACCAGACTATTATGATGACAGAGCGTCAGGGAAAGCAGGTTGTTATTGGGGGTGATGGACGATGTGATTCACCAGGCTATTGTGCAAAATATTGCTCATACAGCTGCATGGATTTAGAAAGCAATAAAATTCTAGACACACAATTAGTTCAGGTAACTAGCTCAATTCATTAGTTTATAGTATTGTATTCAAAACAGTATTGTATGCAAACACATTTTAGGAAATGTGTAATATGTACTTATACAACATGAATACAATGTGTGTAACTAAATCATGTGATATACACCAACATACATGCATACTTGCAGACATACATATCCCAAACACTGTATGATTTTATTTACATTAATATATCTATTACAGTCAAATGAAGTTGCAAATTCAGGGCAATGGAATTGGAAGGACTGAAAAGATCTTTTAAGCTTATTCAGTCACACAATCTTCAAGTGAGTCATCTTATCACAGACAGGCATTGCCAAGTTAAAAAATACATGAAAACCCTACAGCCAGGAGTGAAGCACTATTTTGATGTTTGGCATGTGGCAAAGGTAAAATTAAGGCTACCAAAAGCTGCTCAAAGTACAGCAATGGGTCTTAAAATAAAGTACTTCCTGATTTGATCAAAGAGTATCTTTATAATCATAAATTACCAAGTGATTAAGAGGTTTTAGAATTTTTCTAATTGCATTTAATTTCATGATATTTTGATCAATTATTGCTATGTTTTGCATTACAATTTTTAACCAATGTACAGTGTCTATTTTTTTCTACAGGTATCAAAAAAAAGGTAATGGCAGCCGGTAAGAAGAGTGGATGTAGATTGCTACTTGATTGGGCACAGTCAATATCTAACCATGTCTACTGGTGTGCTGCAAGTAGTGGTGGTGATGAGAAACTACTTAAGGCTAAATGGCTATCATTGCTGAATCACATTTGCAACATTCATGATGGTCATAGCGAATTATTTCCAAAATGTGAGCATGGTACTCTTGAGCCTCGCTTATGGATAAAGAAAGGTACAAATTAATCCTAAATGCTCTGGTATAAGACATAATAGTTATTTACAGTAATTGATACTTTCTTTATCAACAAACTTCAATTGCCAGCCAATGCCACAATGTGGTGTTATTTGTCAACATATGACATAAATGGGCACCATAAAATTTTCTATCTTTTTTCCAAGGATCTAGAGCATTTACTGAATTGGCATCGATTGTTGAAAGCAGGTATCTCATGAAAGATATTGGGAAGCTCAGCCATGAGAAACAAACATCAGCTCTTGAAGGTTTTCATCGAGTTGTTATACTATATGCACCAAAGCATACACATTTCTTTACAAGGCAATGCAAGCTAGGTAAACAAACAATAAACAATGTTGTTTTCATACTGAAAATGATTGCAAGGTGGCACACTAAAAGTAAAATTAAATTTTTAGATTACTGATTGCTGCTCTCCATTTCAATGAAAATGGAAGTAAAGAACAAAGCGCAAAAAGAAAATGGGAATTAATGTGGAAAGTGTCTCACCCCAAATCAAGACAGTCATGTGGAGTCATCAAAGGTGTTAAAATTGATAGTACTTATGGTAAGGACAAGTTTTAGCACTCAAAAGCCAAATAATTGTTCTACTGATGGTACATTTCTTGCACTTCTCAGTTTAATTCTTCTCCCCCTGTTTTACAGACTATGTGAAACAACTAATGGAGGAAGTGATAAGGTGCAGACATGCTAATTCCAGTTTAAACCAAGCAATTGCAACAGAAAGACAACAAAAAATACCAGATCCACTGACTAGTAGAGTTGAAAAAGTTGATAAAGTAACAGCAGTGCAACAACATACTTCACGATTCAATCTTAACTAAACTGAAGTCTAACACTCACAGGTATTTATAAATGCTGTGCATATTCAAAGCCTTTATATATGCCAGAAGGTGAAGGAAATGCTTTCCTTATTTCTTTAACAGCACAGGATGGTATAGGAAGTCGATATTTCTTGCCAAGCTTTCCATGTATCCATGCTGTCCATTGCCTATAGGCAGTGTAACGCAAAGTTCTGGGAAACAAAACAAAATCAAACATAAGCAAATTATTGTCGATATATGAGGAGATATCAAAAAAGCTGAAACTGACTCGGTTTCTGGAGCGTCTGGTATTGCCCCGTGATCGTGAACGAATACAACCATAGCTGTTCTAACGACTGTTTCGTTGATGCAGACCATGTGAAACTCTTGTTCTTCTGTGATGCATAAATGGTCACCATGAATTTTAGGGTCTGTCTTCGGTTCCTCATGGCAACAAATGCTTTCCCGGCCGGTTGTCATCGCCACACAGTCACACTCACACCTGCCATTAAAATAAAGAAAAGAATTTTATGACGCGATCTGAAATGTTAATCATGAAAAAAAGCAACGCACCAGTTTGTATTTCCAATCCTGTGAGTATATTCGTCAGATGAGCTGTCCGTTGACGACGACGAAGACAGATCTTCGTCAGTTTCAACATTATTGCTACTAGCTAGCGGTTCAAACATGTAAGGCTGGACCTCCGTAGCAATATATTCGATGTCAAATTCGACTTCTTCCTCCGTTGAAGACATCGAGATAAACACGCATTAATAGTAGCAGCAACAACAAAAGAAAATTGGCGAAATTTAATTTTACTGCTACTGGCTGCACTGAGCAAAACATGCAATGGCAACTATTACGTCAAACTCGCCCCAGCTTGGGTAATTCAAATTCGCTCGCGCTATTTGAATTCGGCCTTCGGAAATCGTCAATGTCATGAATTCAGAAGACCATATCTCATAAAATATAAAACATTGGACTTTCAAATTTGACGAATAGGCTAATCATTAGCTAAGCTTTCATATGAAGCAAAGTTATATCAAGCATTTCAGGTGACCTTTAAAGATCTTGTTCTGAGGATTACAAATATGGTTTTATTATCTTGGTCCAAATTCGTGAAGCGGTTCTACAGCTTTGGAAAGGTGGAGCATTTTTGCGTTAATTAATAGGCAAGTTGTCATGTTGCATTATTTCACTAACGTCTAAATATGCCGGGTGTTGAACTAGTTAACACGCTGCAATATACTCGTATTTGGTATCAGATTAAAGATCTTGCTATGAGGATTACAAATATGTCTTTATTATTGTGGCCGACATTCCAGGAGCGAATCTACAGCTTGAGAAATGTGGAGACGTTTGCGTTAATTAATATTCGCGGTACTTAACTGACATGTTTATATATATCTAATTTTCATGAAGTTAACACGCTGCAATTTACTTGTGTTTAGTATCGTCTTAAAGATCTTGTTCTGAGGATTACAAATATGGTTTTATTATCTTGGTCCAAATTCGTGAAGCGGTTCTACAGCTTATGAAATAGTTTTCTTTTTGGTTTAATTAATTGTGCGTTATTTAAATGAGATGTACTTATGTCTGATTTTGAAGTAGTGGTAAACACGCTGCAATCATTTTCATTGGGTACCATTTTAAAGATGTGATTCTGAAGATTGGAAAGATGTTCTGATTATCGTGGCACAAGTTCGAGGAGAATCTACGGCTTATGAAAAGAACAACACTTGTGCTATGTAATTTGTTGCAATATAGAACATATGTGTCTTATTTATTTCGTCGAATTGTTGAGTTTATGCTAATTTATGCAAACGTCATTTTAAGAATTTCACGGTTTAAAACCTTTGTCGTATCCTGTGTTTGCGTCTTTTATGACTGACCGTTGAATCGTTGATGTCAACGGTTTTCCTGTATTATCGAAGCAATTATTACTTTTGCGAGAAAAGTTAATTCAGGATTATATTAAAATCTTTTGTGCTCTTCTCGTTTTCGTGTAACGCTAAATGATGAAGGTACGTTATCGCTTCTTCTTGTCTTACGGTCGTTTATGTCCGTTATCATTCACTGCATTTGTTTGTGCTTTTCAGCGCACTGTTGGTCGTCCATCGAAATACACGTTTGACGTGAATGCAATTGTTGCAGCTATGTCAAATGTGTCTGACCAAAACGATTCTTACAGAAAGTCAAATAGCTTCTGGGGGAAAATTTTAGTTGAACTTGGGATTAGAAACAAATTGCTTGCACGGAGAAACCTATATCTTCGCTGGCACGATAACCGGAATGGCATGCGATCTGCAATCGAGCATGGGCGATTAGAGGTACGCAAAGGATATTTAATTTCATGTATTGATCATTCGTTTGACAGTAAACGGTTTATGAATTTTGGGCGGTTTGAAAATTATCTTAAACTTTCTGATTGGTTGTTTGTGTAAAGATTACGAATTAATTATTTTTCAAAACGTAATGACCGTTTGAATATTTGTGATATCTTCTGCGCATGCGCTGATTGATAACCGATGTTTGTGCTTGAGAATTATTCAAAGCGAAAGCAAGCCCAAAAATTTTCTGCGAACTTAAATTAAAATGCAATTTGTCATTTGAGTTATTAAGATTGTTGTATTTTTGCTGTATTTGATACGTCGCTCGCTCAGTGCATTGCGATGGAAAATTTATAGCATTTTGTACTTCGTGATGTTATCAGTACAACAAAGACCTTGCATAATTCATCGATATATAGTTGCATTATATGAAGCGTTAATCCTCACTTAAAGACGAAATAAAAGTTACATCGTCGAAAATATCGCTAACCTATTTATGTAAAACGCAAAAGTTACAAGCGTTTTGAATTATCGGTTGGGTGGAATATGTACAGTTCAGAAAATTGTTTTAAAAGAGTTTTGAGGATAAAGTATTCACAGCAAAATGGTTTTCGATGCACGATCTTTGGACTTCACTTTTCTCAATAAGCACAGTCACGTGACATGCAATGTAATGAAGGGCGTCTTGTAAATGCAGAATAGTTTAGATAGTTATCGGACCCACATGTGTGCATCAGCTTAACTTTGTTTTTAAGGCTATTGCACTATTTTTGAGGGATTAGCTCCATAAAATTTGCGTGTATCCATACCATAGGCAACATATGCCTCACTTGCACTAAATTATGTAATAATTCAATTTTTAATTAAGGTATTTAAGTGGCTATATGCAAATAAATACATTGATAATGTACACTCTATCGGGAATGATTTATGCAAAAAGTTTTGATTTGGGTAATGCATTTCCATAAATCTGGGACTGACGGCAATCGTATTTTTCAACTTCATTTTTAATCTGAAATGTCTAAATGTCCAAGAAACGTTGTTTTTTTGGCATATTATTTACATATTTGGCTATTTATGTCCAATCAATTTTAGTCAATTCATCTTTTGAGCGTAACGTCAGTGAACATTGATTATGGAGACATTGTATTGTAGCACATTTATCAACTGCGTTAACTATTTTCTTTGTTCTTCTTGGCGGCGCTTCCAGCATTCCTGTTGGGGGTATGGTGGGGGGAGGAGGGGAAGGTCATTAGGAACCTCACACCTTTTTTGTAGCATGTGACAGGGATTTGAAAACGCGTAATCTTGGAAGTCTCACATTCTGTATAAATAGGACGCATGCTTATAGCCTTTAAAATAAAAGAGAATATTTACGTCGAATAGATGTTGCATATCCTTGCTGTAATGTGAGGAGGGGGGTGGCGGTGGCAGGTGAAACTTGAGTCTACAAATATAAGGTTCATGCAAGTTAAAATCGGTTGCTCATGTGTTCAGAGAATATTCTAACCATTTTAGGTGCCCAAATATAAATATTTATATAAATTTTTGATTTTTAGATCTTTAGACATAACGTAATGGTTGAATTGTAAATATTTCAATATTGTTGTAATCATTAATATCGCCTTTTTTTATTTTAAGCATATTTAATTATTAATATCTTGAAATAGTTTATTACAGTATTAATAATGATGGTACTATTTGCTTTGTTCTAATCCAGACCATACTTCAAATTAAATCAATGTTTCTTCTGATGCACTCAATTTAATATAATACACTTGTTTGCATTTTTTAGTTATCAAATGCTGAAGATCTGTTAGCTAGCCATGACAATAAATATAATGATAATGCGCATCACCCGTCGTCGGGTCGCGAGTTTTTGCCATTTTTAGAGTCCCGACCATTTAACACTCATAGTGGTGAATGCGCAGGAAACGACCATTATGATTTTGGCCAATCAGCGACTGACAGTGATGAGGCTAGCGAGGAATTCGACATGGTCACTACCCAGAAGCATTTAACTGGAGATATTCATTACACTAAAGAAAGTGAACATGGAGATGCATCTTCCATTAAACAAGATTCAAAAAAAGAAGTTTCAAGCAGACACACCAACAATGTGGTCAAAACCTTAGCACAATCCAATAAAGAAAACAAATGCATAAAACGTAGAAGATGCATACCGAAAGCCCATACTCCAGAAAGGAACAACCAAAAACTATGGTGTCTCTGTCAAAAAGAAGATGTTGGAATCTATATTTTGTGCGATGAAAAGAAAGAAGGTTGTCTGGAGTTTTATCATCCAGAATGCGTTGGTTTACCTCATCTTAAAACAAAGAAACAACTCGAAAAATACAGTAATTGTATAGACGGCAAATCTTATATCTGTCCTATTTGTGCTAGCAAAAAATCCCGCAATAAATACCGTCCACAAGAACTGCTGTCACTTTCAAACAAAGAAACTGATGACAATGATCCAATGCACGTTTTTGGCACAAATGATATTCACGAGGAGGGTGTCCTGGAGTCACATGGAGAAATGGAAGACGTGGTCGATAACAGAGAATGTAATGTACTTTTACATCCTTCTTCACCGTGCATTGATGAAAAGATGAAAACATATGTATTTCAGATCGTGTATCTTACAGCATGGAAAGTAGTCCGTCGATTGAGAAAGTCATTTATCACTCT